ACAGTGCCTGCAGCTCCACCGCCAGCCCACGCTACAGATCAGGGCCCTGACTCCACGAGGCCCAGGGGAAACACCAGCTCCTCACTGGGGCAGGACAGGCTCCATGGACTAGTCAGCCCCGCAGCGTTTCTGCTGGGCTGTCAGACCTGGATGTGAGGCACGGGCAGGACGGAGCAGCTTCACAGTCTTGAGACCCTCAGAGCTGCAGCAGGAGCGACCGCAAGGAGAAAGGACCGTGGCCCCTGTCAGTCATCTGTAAGGGGCTGGGCTGCCTCTGGTCCCGCAGAGCCTCAGCTTCTGCATCTGTCCCACCCCCCACCAGGCTGCATTGTCAGTGTCACCTTGCAGGAAACCTCAACCGGGCCGACCGAGGAGCCTACCGTTTCCAGCATTTTCTCACAGGGGAAAGCCCAAATCCACCCTGGTGGTGCCCGACCCAGCACCCGCTTGACCTGGCGTGTCGTGTTTCGGCAGAACCCGTCCTGATTAGGGAGCTCCGAGACAGTGAAGAGAGAGATTATTCCTGGGCTGACACTCAAACTACTGCTCTGAAAGGAGGGACCTAAGAAGGGGGCCCGGGCCTTGGTGCTGAGGTGGCAGGGCTGTCCCTGGGAGACTCAACGGAGGGAGAAGCCATGCTAAGAGACTCGGGTCTGAGGTCACGGCCACAAGGCTGCAGCACCTAGGACTCCCCTGCCTGGCACCCAATAGTCTTAGTGGAGTCCTCGTCCTCCAGCGCAGAACAGGGCCTGGGCTGGGCAGGCACCCACCGCGGGATGATCCTGCCTGGATGGGGCTTGGCCCTGTCGTGAGCAGCGCCCCCTCTCCACAGGCATTGACGTCTTGTACTCAGGCGCCCAAAAGGTCCTGAATGCCCCTCCAGGGACCTCGCCCATCTCCTTCAGTGACAAGGCCAGGTGAGTGACCCGCAGACCCTGGCCCTGAGACAGGGGTGGATGTGCAGTGAGCTCAGGTGGCCCCAGGGAAGGAGGGGCTGGAGCAAGGACGGTAGGGCTCCTCCGGGCAGGTGGTGCTCAGAGATGCGTCTGGAACCCTCAGGCCCACCCTGCTCAGGGTGTGCTAGTGGCCAGACATCTGCTCCAGAGCACCACGTTCACAGGGAGCAGGGTGGCTAGGGCAAGGCATGGGTGCCAGGCCCTGGGCTTGTGTGCAGGATGCAGAGCCCGGCATTCTGGAAGTTTCCCAGACTCATGCCAAGGGGTGACCCGGCAAGGACTGGGGGCCCAGGCCCAGCCCCCCAAGGCCTCCACCCCAAGCTCAGCTGCCAGGAGTTAATGTAGGAGCTGCCCCAAGGGATGGGCATGGACCACCTGCTCTCCTCTGCCATCCTAATGTCACCTCACATCCCTGGTGTCCAGACCCTAAGCCAGGCCTGGCATGGCCCTGGGGTGGGGGTGAGGATGGGGGACTGGCCTAGGCAGACTGTTATCATCCAGCTGCAGCCAGGTGACGGGTTCTGCCATTTGCCAGAACAGAAACAATTTCAGGGCGACATCAGGAATTCTGCATGGCACATGGGGGGTCTGAGACGCCTTAGGGCCATAAGCGAAGGTGGAGGAGGCAGCTGGGCCAGAAGCTCGGGTGGTCTGGGCTGGATGCATCAATCTGGAGGTGTTGGAGATTAGAGACATTTAAGGTGTCAAGACTGGCCAGTGTTCCAGTCACGGTGCAAGGGTGCGGGGCTGAGCAGGAAGGGGACAGTCAGGGGCCCTGGGTTACACCCCAGCCTCTACCCCAAGGGTATGGCAGCTCCAGGAGAGGTGAGGCCTCAGCCATAGGCCCTGAGCCTCAGTTTCCCCTCTGTCATTTTGACGGTTTGGAGTTGCCCACAGAGCAGGCCCTCCTGTCGTTAGTGAGTGGTCACCTTTGGGTGACCTGAGGATTGAGGCAGGATGGCCCTCTGGTGGGCGGGGGGGACTGGGACAGAGGGGCAGACACTCAGGCCGGCTCTTCCTCCCCAGGAACAAGATCTACTCTCGGAAGACGAAGCCCTTCTCTTTCTCGCTGGACATCAAGTATCTGGCCAACCTCTGGGGCTGTGACGACAAGCCCAGGATGTGAGGCTGGGCCTGGACAGGTGGTGGCTGGGCGTGGCTGGGCTCATGGGGGCTGTGACCTCTCTCTACAGCCCCTGCTTATCAATTTCACACACTGGGCCCGAGCCCCCACCTTCATGCCCCCGCACCCCAACTGGAGCCGCAGGATTCACCAGTGCCAAGCCACCAAATTCCCACACCCCCAGTGCCAAGCCACCAAATTCCCACACCCCGGTACCCCCCTCCTCGCCTGGCCTGGAGACATGAGCCCTGTCCTCCTCACAGGGCACACCCTCGGGCACTCTGCACCTGGCCCTCCCACATCTTCCCATTCCTGGGCCTCAGTTTGCCTCTCTCCAAAGGAGGCCACCTTGTAATCCCAAGGCCTCTTGTGTTACACCCAGGACAAGGCACCAGGGGTTTGGACCTGGTCCAGCGGGTACAGAGGGGCATGTCAGCTTCCACAGGGACACTGGCTGAGGGGGCCCTTGGTGTGGAGGTGGCCGCCAGCACGGTGTCTCTGCTCCTGTCTGCCTCCTGCTGCACAGCTGGCCAGGGTCTTCTCAGACCTAGCTGCCCTCCAGCTCTGAGTCTGTAGTTCTGAAACTGGACTGGGAGGGGGCCCATTGTCACAGAGCCTGTGCTGTGGGGGCTGGGACTGACCGAGCTACTGCTCCATCCCTTACCCAGTAATGGTGGACCAAGCACCCCCGACCCCTGTCTTTCAGATACCATCACACCACCCCCATCATCGGCTTGTATAGCCTGCGAGAGGCCCTGGCCCTCATGGTGGAACAGGTGCGTGGAGGCAGAGACTTGGCCCAGGTGCAGGGCGCCCTACGGGGAGGTGCGCTCAGCTCCCAGGAGCCCCTGCTGAGATTGGCGTGCCCCTGGCAGGCCACCTTCCCTGCAATCCCCTCAAGCTATTCAGGGGACATGGGAAAGGAGGGTTCCTAAGACTGAGAGTAAGCACTGGTTAGTTTGCTGATGGGCCTGGCCTGCAGAGAAGGGGGTCTGCTGATGGGGTGGGGGAAGGGCGGGCTCAGAGGGCTGGCTGTGGGCGGGGCCCAGCAGGACAAAGCCCTGCACAGAGCAGTGACGGTGACGGGCAGGTGTGGACTCTTGCAAGCAAAGCAGCAAGTGAGGCCTGCTGGGCGCGAGATGTTTGTGGAAGGGAGAAAGGTCTGGGAGAGGGGGTCGAAGGCCAGTGGTGGGGGCCATCAACGTAAAGGGGGCACCGCTTTCCTGCAGGCACGTCCAGCTCCCAGGGCGGGGCGGGGGTCGGGCATGGGCAGCTGGGTGGGACCAGGGTGGTGGTCTTGCCCAGTGCAGGATCCACACTCTCAGGACACAGGACAGGAAAGTGGCTGGCAGCACCGCTCGCTGCCGTCAGGGTCCTAACGTCCCCCAGAGGCCACTGCCGACCACAGGCCAGAGGCCAGCAAGGGCTGTGGTTGGCCTCCCTGCGAGGCTGCAGTGCTGTGCCTCCTGCATCCACGCACACAGTCACTGCCGAGGGCCGGGGAAGAGCCCTGGTGTCCCATGAGCTGGATGGCCACCCGCACTGGGCTGGGGCTGATTGCTCGCAGGGCAAGTGGCTGGAAAGACCGTGAAGACAGCCGTGGGGTTGAGCGGTCCAGAGAGGGCAGCGAGAAAGTCAGGAGAGAAGGGACACGAGAGGGTGGCAGGCTCGGCCGACCCTGCTGAAACACAGGGTGGGGTCAGTCTACTGGGAGGACAGAGTAGCACCACCGGCAAGGCAGGGCCGTGGTGACCAGGGAGCTGGTGGCAGGGGTGGGGGAGGACACACAAGGCCAGGGTTGGAGAGACCCCCCTCACCCACCCGGTGCTGAGGTAGGAGCAGATCTGGGCAGGGAGACAACAGAGCGGGGTCTGGCCTCCAGGGGATGGAGGGCTGGAGCGGCCCTGAGCCCTGGTTCTGGTTCTGATCCACCCCGTGCTGTGTGGCCGACAGCCCCTTCCCCTGCCTGGCCTGGCCCCCTACCTCCTGCAAGGTGCCCCCACCTCGTCTCCCCAAGGGGTCCCTGGACTCCACCAACAGGCTGGTCCCCACCTCCCTCCCTCTCAGACCTATTTCTACCTTCCCCAAGGTGGTCCCAGGCTCAGCCCCTGGGGCAAAGCCAGGGCCCCAAACTGGGGGTTTCCAGGGACTCCCGAGGGGCTCAAATCCCAAACCTGAAGTTGCCCCCATCACCGATGCCTACGGAGCCAGGCTCTCCCCCTATCACCACAGAGGGAGAGGCTCAGTCCTGCCCTGCCCACATCAGTGCCCACCCAGTGCCTTGTCCCCGCGCAGGGCCTGGAGAACAGCTGGCGGCGGCACCGGGAGGTGGTGGCCTACCTGCACGGGCGCCTGCATGAGCTGGGGCTGCAGCTCTTCGTGAAGGACGCGGTATGGAAGCCCCTGGGGTTGGCGGTCCTGCACCCATGGGGGCCAGGGCAGAGAGAGCTCTCATCCATCCCCCCTTGGAAGGGATTCAGTGTCCCAAGGACACACAGGGGAGGCTGCCTGGTGCTGGCCTGTGGTTCCCCTGGTGGCGGGGAGGGGCAGAGGGCCGGGGGGAGGGGAGGCTGCAGTGCCCAGGCCTCTGGAGGCTGGATCTCAGGAGCCCGCCCCCAAGCCTGTTCACCTGGGAGCAGTTACCGGGTCGGCCTGTGATCTCCCAGCTGGAACATGCCCATCTGCCTCCTCCACCATCTCCCAAGCCACTGCCGGGTACCGGCCCCTGGTGGGGGTGGGATTAGGGGTGGGGAGTCAGCTCATTGAGCCGGGCCCCCCGGAGTCCTCCAGGAGAGGGAGGATACAAATGACCCTGGTGAAACAAAGTGGGAAATTAAGGACTCTGCAGGGGCAGCTGCTGGCAGGGGTGGCAGCCCTCCCTTCCCCGGCTCTCTCTCCCTGGCCAGGGCAGGTCAGGCCAGGGCAGGTCAGGCCGGGACAGGGGGCCCCGGTGAGAGCCATCGTGAAGGTGCATGCAGGCTTCTCACCCTCATGGCTGAGCCCGGCCCCTCCTGCAGGCGCTCCGGCTGCCCACGGTCACCACCGTGGCCGCCCCCGCCGGCTATGACTGGAGAGACATTGTCAACTACGTCATGGACCACTTTGACATTGAGATCACAGGTGGCCTCGGGCCCTCAATGGGGAAGGTGAGAGACAGCTCCTCGGGGGCCCAGGCCCTGCTGCTCCCAGGTCCCAGGGCAAGAAACTAGACCCACCACCCCCACATCGAGCACTGCTGCGCACCAAGTCCGGGGCGAGGTCGGAGGTCATCAGCAGGCCCAGGGAGCATCCCTTTCCCACAAGGAGGGACTTGCTTGAGGGGGGATCTGGACAAAGTGTGTCCTCCTGCTGCAGCTCCCACCGCGGCCTGGTGAGGTCACAGGGTTAGGCCTTACGATTGCACTCAGAGCGTCCTTCCTTCCCGCTGAGAGGACCTGGCTGACCAGGCTGGGGACTCCAATCCTGGGTCCAGCTGTGTCTGCTGAGCCAGCGACGCTGAGTGACCCCACTGGCTGCCATCCAGGACTCTCTTCCCGAGCTCTGTGGGTGCAGAGAGGGGGGCCTCCCTGTGTGACCTGAATGAGGCTCTTGGCTCCCCTTGAGTGCACAGGGTGGGTGGTCCCCACACAGGGTGAACCCACCCTGACTCTGACCAGCCCCCAGTCAGCACCGTGCAGGGCCCAGATGGGAGCTGATGTCTCCTCCCTGGCCTGTGTCCCACCAGGTGCTGCGGATCGGCCTGATGGGCTGCAATGCCACCCGGGAGAACGTGGACCGGGTGACAGAGGCCCTGAGGGAGGCCCTGCAGCGCTGCCCCAAGAACAAGCTATGACCTGCCTGCCCAGCCAGCCCACACCTGGTCCATGCCCACCTGGAGGGCCTCAGGGCCCAGCAGCAAACTGATTCTACAAGGTCAGCGGGCCTGGGGCCAGAAAGCTGCTGACCTGGCCCAGGCGAGGGCCAGGGAGAGGACCAGGCAGCCTCCCCTGGCCCGAGGTGGTCTTCTCCCTCCAAGGGGGACCCCCTGCAAACATGTGGGCTCAGGACTCGCAATGCCTTCTGAACGAGCTGCAGTCCCCCCAGCTCACTGCCTTCCAGGAATATTCAATAAAGAGCTGGTTGGTCATCTCTCCTGTGCTGGGGGGTGGGCTGAGAAAGAGTCTGACAGGCGGGCACCTCTGCTCCCTGCACTAGTGTGTGCCTTTGGGGGCGCCCCTCATGCTGAAGCCCACAGGGCAGGTCCTCCCCTGGGGCCTCTGCTGGGGCTGGGGAGCTGTCCCCACAGTCTGGCCCCAGACCTCACCCCCCAAACACACCCTCACACGCCACCTCCAGGTGAACTCACACGGCCCCCAGGGCTGAATCAAGACCCCACGCACACAGACAAGGGCTCCAGCGTGCCCAAGAGCACACAGCCAGGACCAAAGCCCAGAAAGCGCAGTAGGAAGGGGGCTCTTCGAGAGGAGACTAGAGAGTCTGAGGGGCCAGAACGTGCGGGACCATGTGGGCCACCACAGTCAAGACTCTGGTGTTTGTTCGGAGAGCAGCCCTGTCTGGGTTTGGTCTCCCCAGAGGCAGACACTGAGATCAGAATTCAAGTACAAGTCGTTTATTTGGGAGGTGGGCCCAGGAACCACCCAAGGGAAGGGCCCCATGCTCCCATGGGTCATTGTCCCCTCCCCCCTTCCCCCACTGTCTAGTTTCTATCTCCAGGGTTCAGCTGTGCAGGCATCTGGATTTTGTGTCAACAAAGCCACACAGTTCTGCTGTGTCTGCTTCTTCCACTTAGCGTTTGTGACGGTCCTCCCTGTCCCTGCTGTCGAGTGCTGTCCCGGTGTATGGACGCGTCGCGGTGTGCTTGTGCATCTGCCGTGGACGGACATCGGGTTGTTTCTAACGCGGGCTGTTCTGAATAAGGCTGTAATGCACAGTCCCATGGAAGGCTTCGTGTGGCTGCACACTCTCACTCTCGTGGGTGGGTAACCAGGCGTGTCACGGCGGGGTCACCGGGGGGCTTAACTTCAAACGACACAGAAGTGGTCGTCCCACTTTCCGTCCACACCTGCCCCGTGTGTGACAGTTCCCAGTGCCCCA